TCCTGGCCCCCAGAAGCTGTTGAGAGAGAAGTTCTGCCCGTTACTCCATCAGCACTCACTGATGGTGCCCTGATGATGCAGCACCCTTGAGGACGCTGGTTATCTTGGAAACGAGCCCGAGAGCTTGGGCTAACAAGAAAGAAACACAAAAGCAGAGCAGGCTCCAAGAGACAGATGCAACATAGCCAAGGCATAATGATCCATTGTGCTAAATACACAAACACTGTCTCCAGACTGCAGAAGAGAACCAGGATTTCACAAATGCCTCCACTCTTGTTCTCAGCCAGTTTCTGTGACATCTACTGACAGCTACATCCTTTCTTCCCCGGACTGGCTGGTCCATAACAGAGACTGTAACCTACTGCTGTTTGCCACTCCAAGTGGCCAAGTAAATGTAACTTTTGACTCTAAAAGTTCATAACGATCCATGTGGGAATCAATAACTTCTGAGTAAAGGAATTCCTTTTTCCTTACGGTTTTATCCGAAAGTTTTCAAAAGGCACCTTGTAAAAACTGTGCTAGAAATAGTAAAGTTGTAAAAACACTCAGAATTTAGAAAATTACAGCATTACAAATGCTCATGCATTCTGGCACAGTCTTCCATGCTTACCAATACTGACTTTTCCCAAGGACATCACCTCCTTTCTCTTTCAAAACGTGGTGTCCTCTGCAGAGACCCCTTTATTTTCCCTTCCCTTTCACATTTGCAGTTTTTCCCCGCGACTGTCTCAGCACAAGGCCACGAGCGAAGCAGCCCAGGCTGCACCCCAGGTCAGCTGCAGGCCCTGCAGAGTGGGCTCCCATTTCCACGCATCCAAACCAAGCTCCTGGGTAGCTGTAATCTCCCCTCGTTAATTCCCAGTGCCCTGCCCGAACAAAAACAAAAGATCCCGCCAGACACACATCACAGACTTCATATCTGCTGTGCTGCTCTTATCTGTTATCCTGCAAGGCTAAGGACGGGAGTTCTCTGCTACCAGACTCACTGCAGTGTTTCGGGAGGTTCTGAACACCCACTTCTCATCTCTGAAGGAATGAAACAACAAAAGATAAACCAGTGACACGCTCAAAGTATAGTAACTCAATTACACAGGGTTTTATTGCTTGCTCTGAGTCTTTAACACAAAGCCTTCTAAGATGACTCTCGGGATTTCCACGGAGGGAAAGCAAAAGAAAAGTGTTATATTTTTTAACCTCCCTTGAAATTTCTAAAATGATTTTCTTACCATGAGTGCCTGAACCAAAGGGTAAATGAAAACATAAAAAAAAACTCCCACCATTTTAAGCAACTTTCCTCATTATTGAAGAGGACTATTATTATTAAAGATTAATTTACTATTACTTTAACTTTTTTATTAACTTTTCCATTACATAAGCAATAGCAAGTCCAACTTTCACCTTTAAGTGTCTTCCTACTGCTTCTATTTCTTTCAATGAAGTGGAATACATAAAAAGATTCCCTTAATATATATTCAGAAACAGTTCAAGAGAAATACCAGAGTTCATTCCAAGCACATTTTCCTATTGAGTTTCTTCTGAAACTAAATAGAGGACTGCACAGCCCAAGAACAAAATAAGAGACTGCACAATCTCTTCTGTGCAGCTTACAAAGAATCCGAGAGATGAATGCCACTGAACGTAGGTATTTGTGATGGATGCAAGTTACAATTTTTTAGCAGTTTCCCAGCTGCCTAAGGTTTCTGAGCTTGAAACAAAGGACCATCAGATGGTAAATTACCCAAATACAACTATTTGATGGAACCACAAAATTATTCTGTGTTCCCAAGATACAAACAACAGTATATCAGGTATGGAGGTAATTGCCACAGCCCTAAAATACACTTTTTTTCATGCAATAGTAATTTTCCTTACTGTGTTAGAAATTTATTATATATATAATTTATAATTCTAATTTATACATATATATATATATATACATGCCAGACTGTATATATACAAAATATATTTTATGTACCTGTAATGATTAGAGCACTGAGCATGAAAAGTAATAATGCCCCTCACAAGGAACTTAGATCCTGTTTTTTCTAAATACTGCAGTGACTCCTCAGAAGCAGAGCAGAACCTCAACATGTGACTAATGAGAACATACTCCTCAATACTGCCCCCAGGTATACGACTCTTCAGTTAGAATTAGCATATTGTAATTACAGCAATAACCACAAATATGAAACAGTGGGGGGCTGAGAGAAGCATAAGCAGCGCAAAATCCTCTAGCCATGCCATTGCAGTATCTGCATTTAGAAGGACCAAGACAAGTGGAGTTCTGAGTTCACTGTGATGAGATCAGAGCACCGAAATGAAGTTTTAAGACAACAGTTTTCTCAGGGGCACTTAAATTACATTCCAAATTAGACCCCAGTAAGAATTTGTTTTCTTTGCCACAGAATTATAAACCAGAACGACCAGAGGCTGTGATGGGACTTCCACCACAGCCTCAACCATGGAGAGGCAAGTGCTGGTGGGAGCTGGGAGCAGTTACCTCAGACACAAACAGACATCTGGTATTTGTTTTGGAAGTAACTGGCACAGGACGATTTTCAGGGTGATAGGGGAGATGACATTTACACAAGCATTCACTTGATGGAAACAACTTAATATCAAACCAAAAAGCGGAATAAAATCCTTCCAGCATAAACAGTTCAGCTGAAGGAAAATACGGATTCCTTCTGAGCCGAGTGGGCATTCCTTCAGCACCCCAGGTACCCCCACTGCTTTCCCACTGTCCTTAACGGTGTCGAGAGTGTTGGTATCAAACACACCACCACTGCCCAGCCACTGTAACCTGCCACAGCAGTCCAGCACAAACCACAGTGCACTCGTGGCTCCGGGGTGCATTCTCAGAGAACAATGCTTCAGTGCAGCAGGCCTGTTTATGCTCCAGTTAGTTTAAGTCTCAATTCAGACACACTGCCTGTGGACACAGACACGAGGCCAGGTTCTGACCACTCAGTTCCATCCTCTCAGCTCAAGCAAGCTCAGAGAACTGAGACAACCTGTCCTCAAGTACCATGCACACACCTCATGCTCACATTCAATGATGTCCTTTATTTTAGAGCACAATCTTCACTTGGTCCTTGAAAAAGGAAATTCAGCTTTTTGGATGCTGACCAAGCCAAAAATAACTCTGAAGCCCTCCAATCATCTTGTTTGGATGTACTTTCTTCCTCTTTCAGAATCAGCTGGCACAGTCATGTGTAAGATACAGACTCATTTAGTCATTCAGGACACTGCTGTGATACACCAACGATGAACAGGGCGAGAGGCATACCCCTCAAGTGCTCTGAATCACTGCCTATCTCTCTCATCTGCCAACCAGACATCCAGTTTCAACAGCAGAAATTGCGTTTCCTTAGTTACCTTATTAAGCCAGTTCCCTACTTTTCAGGTGCCTGTATCAGGAAGGCAGACTCTGGCATGAACTCTCCTCAGGCAGTCATCACTCTTCTCCTATGGAGTGCACCAAGTCAAGATGTACTGAATCGGGGAACATGCAAGGAGAGAGCGTTTTTGTAATATTACCTCACTTGTTGCATTAACTGGAATGCCTGCAGTGAACAACACATGCAGGGCACTGCACGAACAGAAAAACATGCAGCAGCAAAGGCAGTTAAGTGGTTCCTTGGAAGAACAGAATCCTCTCCTCCTTCTGCAGTTGAGATCCCTAAGGAAGTTAACTTAAATCATCTTTTTCTTGTGTAGTAACTGTAATTATCCCCTTCAAAGTACCCCGTGATACTTTGATAATGCTATTACCAACTAACCCTTTCCTCCTGTTAATGCTGTTCTCAGTCACTGTGCTGAAGCCAGAGCACTGGCACCAGTCTGCCTTCCAGTGCCACAACTCATGATCTGCTGAAACTGAGCAAATACACCCTTTCAAACTGCCTTAATGTGTACACAAAGTGTTTGCACCCTGACTTTCTGAAACCTAATCATTACCTGAAATTATTCAGTCTCCTGCCCCCAGATCAAATATGAAATCTGTGCGCCACAGAGCTACCCCCAAATGCAGTTCTGACCGCAGCCCCAGTCTGCAAATCACTCTTAAGATCCAAACTACGCTGTAAACCAGACTCAGAACACCATTGTTCTTAACCAGGTCTGGTGACGGTTGCTGAGGTAGTTGCATTTTCCAGCATAGGCAGGGCAAGATTTCTTGCTATTTCACTGGCAACCTGTTTTCTTTCCAGTCAAAGAATTTTCACTGAAGGCAACAGGAACTATTGGTACCACCTGCTCTGCCAGACCCACACAAACCCCACTGAGTAGAACAACAAGGGCACTGCAACAGCAAAGGGCAAAAGCCCTGCACGCCATCTGAAACGTACACAAATCAAGGATTAGGGTTAAGATTTCCAGGCCAACGTGAAGCCCTGGCCTCTCTTCATCGTGTGTTACAAGGCACTCTTCACACGATCCCACAGCACTGACAAAGGTGACTATCCTGGCAAATGAGGCACAACATCGTGTATCTCATCACCACTCCTCCAACCTGTGAAGAACACTTCCCACTTAGAAGCCTTATTACATCCAGCATTCCAGAATACCTTAGGCCACATGCACTGTACTGCATATTCCAGCAACTCACAAAGACGTGATTTTGTCTATAAAAATAAAAAAGGAGATGAAACCTGACACCTGGCATCACTAATGAGAAAGACCAAACAAAAACTGGCAGTTCTTCACTTCAACCAAGCTGAGAAACGAGCTGTCACGGGACACTGAGGATCTGGAGGTTCCACAGCTTCAGAGACAGAGGAAAATCACAGGGGTGGGAACCCATCAACAACTGTTGGACACAGAGACGTCATCCCTGGCTCAGGAAGTGCCCCAGTCTCTAGTGCCTCAGAAAATATATGAAATATCATTGTCAAATCCTGTTATCATTAGACTGTTGAGATGACTGAGGGTGTCCAAGGGAAAATAAATACAAAGTACAGCTACTGAGCCCAGAAACAGAATTAATGAAAGCCAAGAGTACTCAGAAAATTCTAAAAAAGTTTAATTTAAAATTAATATATCATAGCTTACAATATATAGTCTATATGCATTACTATGCACAAATGTACTATACATTGCATATGTAATTACATACATATTTGCATATGTTGTTCCATACATAATTCTCACCTGTAAAATGTAATTCACTCTCACTCTAGATAAGAATTCATCATTTTGCCTTTAATTTCATGGAGTTACAATGTTTTGTTCCACACTCCTGAAGCTCCTCAGTGTTCAACTAAAATAGTTAAAAAGTGCAACCCGAGTAGAAAACTTTCATTTTACTACATTACAAGATTTAGCAGTGGATGGTTCATCTGAATCACCCGCACGATACTTTTTCCATAGAAAATTTTCATTTTTTTTCCAGAGAGAACCTTCACACACTTCTGTCTCTTCTGCCACTGTGGAACGAGGTGCTCTTTCACACAGCTTCTCTATGACTGCTATGTCCGTGAGCTTTCTGAGGTTCTCCCCGTTCTGCTCATTCAGCATATCCCAGAAATCTTTTGGTTTCCCCTTCGATTTTTCTGCTTCCCCTGAGGAGAATCTCCTTGGTGATCCTGCAGGCCCATTTCCACCACTTCTGAAGACGTCATTGAGAATAGAGGTATCTCCAAGTAAATCCATAAAAGACTTTTTCTTGTAAATCTGAGCTTTGCTCTCTCCATTTTCTGATTGAGACAGGGATCTTTTTTTTGGCATCTGTGTTCCTTCTGAGTCCTGCTGTCCTTCACAACTCTTTACAGGCAGCACCCCTGATTTACTGTTCAGTGAGCCAGATGCCATAAAATCCTTGCATGCCTGACTGTTTCTCCTTTCTAAATGCTGAGCAGCAACAGTGGGTGACTGTTTACATTTTGCATCAACAAGCACATCTTGCAGGCAGGAGCCATCGTGAGGCTTCCCTGCTCCTCCTCTACAGCTCTGCTGGGTCTGTGTTTCTGCAGTCCTGCTCAGAAGTAGCTCTTTAGCTGTTGAAGGTCTGGACTTAGACCTTCCAAAATTAACGACGGATTTTCTTTTTCTAGAGCGTGCTCTATCCAGTTCTCCTTCCTCAGGGCCACGTAAGTCTTGTGCTGGTATTTCAACTGAGAAGAAAGGCTCCATCTCAGGATGCTTGGAAACATAGAATTCCTTCAACATGTTCTGCCTTGTTTCTGAGGTAGCTTTTGCAATATGTTCTGCGAGGCCTTTCACTGATCCCATATTAAAGTGGGATACCATTTCCTCAAACTGTGTCCTGTAATTACCAAGAAGGAAAAACGTGTTATTGTGACACCTTTAACTAGAAACAAAAGCAGTTTCAAGCGATTAATTCAATTCACCTGGATAATAATCATCAAATAGTAATTTGATAATCCAGAAAATAATCATCAAAAGTAACTCCCTTGTTAGAAGCACTGTTTGTTTTTATTAGCAAAGAGAAGAAAGAGTGATAACTTCAGAAGAACTGAAATGACTTTTGAATCCCAAACTACACTGTGATTTCCTCAGCTTACAATTCAAAGACTTACTGTCACTAAAGGTAAGATACCATAAGAAAGGGACAGAGTTCAGAAGCATATAGATACCGAAGAAGTGTAGAGGGACAGAAGGTTCAATGTTGGGAGTTTTGTTGGTGGGGGTTTTTTGTTTTGGAAATAGTTGCTCCAATTCCTTTTGAAGAAGACTTACTAAACAAGAGTCGGACAAAAGCTTTCACGGGAGACAAGGACTGTCCACATCATCCTACTCAGTGAGTTATGGAATATATTCCTGCTAAAAGGCCAAGATTTAGTTAAAAAAGATCACCCTAATTGAGTTGGCCCTCGTCTGGGGTCAGGTAACCTTACTGGAAGGCTGGAGAGGTGGGTTTACGCTCCCATGCCAGAGAAGGGATATCAAACATGTTGCCCTCCCTGTATGGGGGCTCCAAAAGGCAGTAAGATTTAACCCTGTTTGCCTCAAACCACTCGACTGGCTGGCTCCAATTACACCCTTAGAGTGTGGTGACTGCAGAGAGCTTCCCACTCTGCCCTGCAACTTGTGTTTGGGCACAGGAGACTGAGACACAACCACCCTCATCCACTGAAGGGCACATCCACGTGCAGACCAAGCCAAACTGCACGCCAGGTGCTAACAGACCACCTGAGTCATGTTTAACAGTGAATGGTTTAAGCTTTTTGCTAGATATGGCTTTAGGATTTGGCATTAACAGCCTTCGTTACCTCTGAAAATTTCACCTCAACGAATTATTGAGAACTACGATTACAGTTCTGAATTATTTCTAGAATGAAGGGTTCTTCTCTAAGCGCCTCGTAAATATTTAGCATTGTCAGTGTCTACAAGAGTAAACAAATCTGGCAGCTCAACAGCAACAGTTTGGACAGCTGAGGCCAGAGAGCTGATATGGCAGATCCTGAACACTAACAGGCATTACCTAGCTGCCAACTCTCATACAGCAATTTAATTGTCTCAAGACAAAATTGAAAATACACCCCAAATATCTGTTCTGTAGGTGTTTATCTACTTTTTTAAAATAAATATTTCCTTAGTTAGCTACTGAATTCCACTTTCTATTTCCACATACCACCTGGCTCTTTTTATTGAAGTTCTATTTATGTAACAGTGGAATTTAATATTCATACTAATAACATATTAGTATATTCAGAATAATAACAATTGCTTGGGGGAAAAGGGAAAGCAAGGAACCAGAAAAAGTATTAGCACTCCAAAAATGAGGGGGGGAACAAAACATTAAAAGAAATATTGAAAAATATCGAGCCCCATGTTAAAAAAGAAACATGAAGTCCAATTTTATTTTATTAGTCCTTCAAAGACAGGGATGAGATCTGGGCAAAGCCAGCAGGCAGTCAGAAGCTCACACTACAAAATGTCTTGTTTCCATATAGCTTAATCACTGCTTTGCAGTTGTGCACGACGAACATACCACGAACACTCATGACGACATCTGCACAGTGATGTCTTACATGACCATTGAACCAACAGGTTCAGTAATCTGTGTGTTCAATTAATTTATCAGTTACAGTACTCTTAATGTGGCAGGAGTGGAGGTTTCCCACTGGTTCCACTCTTGCCAGAGAAAACAGTCGGTATTCCCTGAGCAGGGCTGAAGTAAAGACAAAAGCAACAACTACGCAGAGGGAAGTTTGTTGCAGCACTAGAACTGTACTTCCAGCTCACCAAAACAGTCTCACCTGCGAATTCCCTTGGGTGTCTTTCCAATCAAGAAGGTGGTTGAACCCACTCTGCACACTTTTTGCTTTCTCTGGGTCACAGGATGCATAACATACAGATGATGCTGCTTACTGTTCATCAGCATTTCTCGCCCTCCCTTAACAAGGCTCTTCTCTGCAGTGCTGCCTTCTGGGCTTTCATCATTTTTCTAGTAAAATGAGACATTGAAATCGTTAAGACAGCTGTGTCTCTGACATAATGAAGAGTTCCACTGCACCCAGCTCTCTCACTCCTAGCTATCACTCAGACTGGGATTCACAGCTGCAAAGTAGGATCCCTACTCAGTCACAAACTTCCAGGGACATGGAAGGGAAGTCTCGGTTCTCTGATATCTTGCACAAAAATACAATCCTATTTACACCGAAGTTATTTTTCAAAAACGCTCATAAATTTTCATCAAAATTTCCCCTTTGCCAAAAGGCAAGCCAAAGGAAACAAGAAAATGCAAAAATGCTTATGAAGAGCATGGAAAAACAGGAAAAAAACACATAAAGAAGCAGCACTACCTTTTCCTTTTATTTTTTTTTCAAATAAAATCACGGGAAAGAATAGCTGGTTAGTGATGTCCTCAGTCTCCCTACTAACACTACCTTTAGAGATGAAAACACAAACTGTGTTCACACCTTGTCACCTGCAGTTCAAAATTTGGTTTCAGATTTACAGTGTTTCTTCTCAATGCGTTTCTATTTGGTCCATGTCCATTTCCCTTATTTCCATGGGCTGTTCACAATGTTTCTGAGCTTTAGGATCTCACATCTGCTCTCAGCTTTACTCTGGTAAGTAACCTCGAGCTAGCATACAGAAAGAGATGTTAATATTTGGAACCTACAGGCATAAGTTCTCACTTTAGGACAAATCCACAACTCCAAAGCTCAAAATTCTACTGCACTATTTTAAGTTACACTATACAAAACTGGAGCCAAGTCCCCAGTTGAGATAAAACCCCTGCCCTCCCAATAATAGTATAATGCTAGTAACAAAATTAAGATTGAATTAGTAGACATTACCTACAGCATAACTATTCTACAATTCTCTTGCTGGTTCTCTATACATTTCTTAACATTTTAAATTTTTTTTTTTTTTTTTAATGAATGCATGGATAACACAGAACTTTACTCAGAAAATGTACGTCAAAAGAAGAAAGCAATGATGGTTTTAAAATATATTTATTTTGATGGAAATGTTGCATGAAGTATATTCATAATATTCAGATCTCACTATGCTAAGACTTGGCTTATTTTCACTCTGTCAGTAAATCACAGCTGTATAATTTAATTCAAGAAAGCATAACTCCCACAGAATACAAGACTAGCCATGTCAATGCCTGTCTTAAAGGTATTTTAAACCCCCCAAAATGTGCATCCCTCCACCTCTTTTTAAACAAGACCAAAGTATATGAGGCAGTAATACTTTGGTTTACACATCTGTTCAAACACAGAGGATTTTTAGTATCTTTGGGAAAAAAGCCATATGTTGTAAACACACTGAAAGTCATAAAATTACTTGTCTTTGCAGAGGAACAGAATTAATGTTAGAAGTATTGCTAATTGCAAAGAAATGCACAAATGGCCTATGAAGATCAGGAAGCATAAAATTTTAAGTACAGTGACCCACACGGCCACACCCAAAAAACCAACATCAAAATACCACCATATACACACAAAGAGCTCCTCTTCTACCTAAATAAGCTGCTTAAAGATTTTTTTTTTTCCTTTGGGTAGAAAAAGTGACTATAAAAAAGTTACCACAAAAGCTGAAAGGCTTATCTCAGTTTTCTGGAGCAAAGGCAGTTGGTTAAACGGTACCCAGTTAGGATGAAACACAACAATTGGCTCTGATGAACTGGTGAATGTTCTAGAAATTCCAGCCCCCAACTCCCAAATCCAATCGCCTCTTTTTTGAAAAACAGTAAACACTTCTTCAGTAAATATAAACCACTTATTTGGTTTCTCTTAAGATGTTTCTATGTTTGTTGAAGGTCAAATCTGAATCCTGTTACTGTGAGTGATTTATGGATAACAGGTTTTATGCAGAGGTAAGCTTTGCACACTGGGATGAAAATATTCCCTCTGCCCTTCTCTTACAAGTACCACTACAAGGCAAAACCTTCAGTCATGTTCCAGCATTGTCAACATTTCACACCAATTTAATTTCTTTTGAATTTGACTTGGTGTATTACCCTCCTTAATTCACTGTCCTCATGGCCAACATCTTTCCAATTACCTTTCAATGTTTGCCCTCTAACTCACTGATTTCATGATGAAAACTTCCGTTCATTAGCTTTCTACATTTTCTGTTCCTCAAGCACCTTCTCTAACAAACTACTGTGTCCCCATTATTCACTTCTACATGAAACCCCGCACTGACTGTACAGAACTGGTCATGTTCACCTGAATTACCATGTATATCACATGAATAAGGCAGCCTCCTAAAGTAAGACTGAAATTAAGAGAATTTGACTCAGCTAGGAGCATCAGACTCTTGTTCTGACACTACTGTTACTAGCAATTTAAAGCATTTATATTATTAATACCACACCCTTTATGAGTCAATAAATGCCACGACCAAAAGAATGAAATAATAAAGGAAACTAAACCCCTTCAAAGTATGTTATAGCATACACATACCATACAGTGTCTGCTATATGTATTTTAAAAGAATTTTGACAAGGAGAATGACAGCAGTCATGAAAGCAGTTAGTCTCTACTAAATATTTAAATACATTAAGGACAGTAAGCCTTTGCAGTGCATTTTAAGAAATTTCAGCTGTTCAAAGTGGAAAAGTTTAACTTGAAAACATACTTACTGGATATCTGATGTGTTAAGTGTGCTTATACTGAATTATCTGTAAAACCATTACACATTTCTGTATCCACATTTTCTTCCTTCAACAAAAAACCTCTGGGGGCACAGGGTGGGGGGAAGGTGCAGTGAAATAATTACATTGACATCAAAGATAAAAATCTGTTTCCTGCTGCCTAAGTATGGAAGTTTTAAAACTAGTATGCACCTACCAAAACCAATTTTTGTCCATCTTTGTCAGTACAAAACTTCAGTACCTGTTCTTCCTATAACAGGCACAAAGGAACAGCTCCATATTCTGGAGCAATGAATGCTAATTCCTGTATAAGCATCTTTAGACAGGACTGAGATGACTGGCGACCTTAAGCCAGTCAATTCATTCCTTTTCTTTACTCCCTTCTAGCCACGCAAAACACAACAACATTGCACCTTTTCAGACGCAGCAAGATGAAAAGGTGTGAGAGAATAAGTGAGCAGAGGCTGGGAAGAGAAATAGAGGCTCAGGCATACTTGCTTTTTAAGTTGTCTCATATCTGTGGCAATTCACTGAGTCTCCAGAGGATAACTAACGTCCCTCAACAGCCTGAATCTGAACTTGAAAAGATGTTTACATAATTATTCTTCAGCCATAGCTGCACTGTGCCTGACCATCTCCCCCTCTTTTACTGCCTAACTACCCCAAGTATCCCTACAGCAAGTATCTTGCCAGACACTGACTTCCAGTCAGCAATAATCCTCCGATTTCCCGACTCACAGCTGAAACAATGTTATGAGGCTTTTCTCTCCAGGTATGCGTGAGACCGCTGCTGTCAGATACCCAGGGCACTAAATTACCACTGCACGGTTTCACGGTTTGTTTTCATTTCTAAATCAAACAAGAATGGCCTTCTCAAATGGCTAGTTGCCTTGCAGTCACCCAAAATAATACAAAAGCATGGAACACAACGAATTCAGTATGACTGACCTCTTAAAGCACATCTTACCAGCAAATAAACCCTTATGCCATACCCTACTTTGTATCTTCCCACTCTCCTCAAACCCTGAGACAATACTCGACTTCGCACGTTTGTGATTTGCAGCTGGTTTTGGGTGACTGGTGATAATGTGATCATGTGATACTGCATTCAACCCTCTTTATGTACCCAAATTACGATTCTAAATAGTTTTTCCTTTTTTTTTTTTTTCTTTCTTTTCTTTCCTCCCCGTCCTGGGAGTTTTTCTGATATTATGTGTGAATTATTATGACCTTTTCATATGCTTTTCTTGAACATATGCTGAATTATTCTTCAACTTACAATAATGGTTAAGATTTACTATGGGTCTAAATTACTCCTCCAAAACATTTTGCCAAACCAAGAGACCAGTAAAATTAATGAAACTAAAGAAAATTTAGAGTAATATGAGTAATCTTCCCGTTTGTTCCAAACAGCTTTTCTGCATCAATAAACTGGACATTCCACAAACTCTGCTCTTTTGTGTGGTAGTGGAGAATTGACTACTAAAGTCAGCTGAGAACAGACTGTGCCCTGTTTCACATTTGTTTCTGAGTCTGTTTCTTCTACAGTCAGGTAACAGACCACGAATTTTTTATTTTTATTGAAGCTGTTGAGCCTTTAGCAAAAATAATTCCTGTATGACAGACCACTGTCTTGCACCAAAAATATGATCTTAAATCGACATAGTTATTACTATTGTTGAGAACGAGGGGAGATAGTCAGCCTGTCTCAGAAGTCAAAGCCTAAGGTAATTGCTTACTCCAGCAGAGGTCCGTGGACTTACACCTATCTCCTTTCACCTTCTCAGCCATCCATCGAACAGGAGCAAAACTAAAGGCCATGTACACATATCATAATGAAAATGCCACTCACAGAAGGCCACATATGAACTGACTACATTCGAAAAACGCAACCAAAAGCCACAGTGGAATGGTTAAACTGAAAAAGTGAACTCGGTAAACCAGCATGACAGGCCAATCACGTGGGAACAATTCTTTTAAAGCTGAATAGTTCACCATCCTAGAGCAGCAAAGATAAAGGCATGTTATCTCCCAAAACCCTGCTCTTTGTAAACAACTATCTAAACTTGTTGAATCTGATGGCTGTGCAAACACACTGCAATCAGAGTTCCTACAACCGATAGAAAGTCTTTGTTTAAACAATCTACAAAATGTCAATGTAATACAAATAAGATAAAGAGTTCTTAATGACACAACTTTTGTATTTACAGTATTCTCCACAGTACTTAAATCTGCATTGCAGATAAAAAGGGCACGTTTTTTCCTAGGCTGACAGCATGCTTAGTTTTTTCATTTACACCACATTGCAATAACATAAAGAGGGGTTTACC